GTCCCCCAGTAGTGCGGTGGAGAGTTTGGGAAGCCAGGGGAGCAGCTGGGCTCGGTCCCGTCTGGGCCAGCCGCCCCTTCCCGCAGAGCCAGCCCCGCTGTCCTCCGCCCGCAGCGCGGCCTCTCTTTGCAGGGATCCCAACGCAGAGGGTGCTGGAGCAGAAACCTGGGTTTGGGGCAGAAATTAGCATATGACACAGTGTATGGGCTGCTGTCAGTGGTTATTTACTACCTGCTGATGGAAAAAACATTGTGCCTCGGCGCATCTCTGTAATCCTATACGAGCCTGAAGAGATGTCACGATTGCTCAGTAAAGAAAAGAGGCGTGATTTATAATCCAAAAAATTATTTTTACAGTAGTGTGTTTATTAGTGTTTTTAATTTCTCTCAAAAGTGCATGTAGAAACAGAAAAGTATTCCAGAAACATCTGCTTTTTTTTTTTTTTTTTCCAGTTTTTTTTTTTTTTTTTTTTTTTTTTTTTTTTTTTTCTAAAATTATCTGGTTTTCCTCTATTCCAAAAGAGTAGGAAATATTTTTCCCCTTTAAAATTTTAATTGGAATGCAGTGTTGGAGACTCCACATAGATACGTCTCGATACTAGAATAGTTGTCCCGATGCATTAGCTTTTTGAAGTCCAAAACAATGTGAAATTAATTATTCCTTTTTTACCCCTCTTTGTATACCCACGGACGCACTATTTTTCCCACTCCTCTTACACAGTGCACTTACTCACAAATGTAAGTGCACAAATATATGTTTACATATACGTGCAAATACAGATGTGTATGTATAAATCAGAGATCACGTGTGTTCACGTGTGTACGTGTATATGTAAATTATATGCACACTTCTATGCGTACACGTGTGTTTTTACATACGTTTTATGATTTCAAAACAGTCTCTGTGTGTTGCATACATGCATAGGAGTTTAGGTGTGTGCGTACACTCAAGATGTGCGCATACACAGGGAGCACGTCCATAGCTCASTATATTCATAAACATAAAATACAGGGTTTGTGTTTCCTTATAAGCAGTCGTGCGCATGTGTGTATACGCTCAGAAATATTTGGGAGGTTATCGCAGGAGGCAGAGAAGCGGCAGGAGGCTTTGCCCAGGCTCCTCGCTCCCCGGCCTTGCTCTCCCCGCGGCCGCGTTGTTTCCCCTCCCGGCGAGCGAGGCGCGGTGCGGGCGGGCGGGCTGTGCGATTCCCAGTTCCCTCGATCCCCGCAGCAGCCTCTGCCTCTCTCCGCAGCCAGCGACCGGGACTCTCCCGAGCTGCCCGAGGAGCCGGCGGAGCGGCCGGGCGGCGGCGGGCGGGCGGCGGCGAGAGGCCCGGCGGGCGGGCGGCCGGGGCCGGGCAGCCGAGAGGAGGAGGAGGAGCGCGGCGAGGAGCCGGGGGAGCCGGAGCAACGCGCCGCCGGCCGCAAGAAGAAGACGCGCACGGTGTTCAGCCGCAGCCAGGTGTTCCAGCTGGAGTCCACCTTCGATGTGAAGCGCTACCTGAGCAGCTCCGAGCGGGCCGGGCTGGCCGCGTCGCTGCACCTCACCGAGACCCAGGTGAAGATCTGGTTCCAGAACCGCCGCAACAAGTGGAAGCGGCAGCTGGCCGCAGACCTGGAAGCGGCTAACCTCTCCCACGCCGCCCAAAGGATAGTGCGGGTCCCCATTTTGTACCACGAGAACTCGCCGGCCAGCGCCTTGGGCTTCACCCTGCCGCACATGTCGCCCCCCTTGGTGGGCTTCTCCAGCGGTGTCAGCTACCCCCTGGGCACCTTCCCCGCCGCCTCCCTCCCTTTCCTACGGTCGCAGATGACAGGACTCGTCTGAGCGCCCACCTCTGCCGGGACCGCGGCCCCCTCGCCCCCTCCCTCGGCTTCCAGCTCCACCCCCCTTCCTCCACGGACTTTTTATTTTCAACTTACACGTTTTTTGATTTTCTGCTTTTTGACTTTTTTTTTTTTTTTTTTTTTTTTAAACGTGCAATAAACTTACTTTTGGGGTTAACTCGGAGCGACGTGCGGCAGCCGGAGGGAGCCAAAAGGACTGCGAAGACCCCAGCCATGCGCCGGGATCAGGTCGGCGGGGCTCCCACCGCCGCGCATCCAAAGAAAATCCAGCCCCGTGGCAGCGGCAAAACCCTCACGGCCTCCCCGGCCCCGGGGTGACACAGACCGGCGTTTTCCGGGGGGCGACAGACTCCCCCGACCCTTCCTCCTGCAACCCGCAAAGCTGCCGAGCGTGAYACGAATGTACGGAACAGCCGGCGCTTTCCGGCCGCGCCGCCCCCACCCCACGGRCGGCCAAGCCTCGGGGCCCCCGCGGCGGCCAAGAGACCTTCCCCGGCACCTCTGGTGCCCCGGGCCAGCGCTCCTGCCGGGGAAACCTTTCAGTCTCCCCGCTGCCCACAGCTTTCCGTGCAGAGCGGGGGACCCTGCTGATCCCGGCCTCCAGCAGCTTCTCCAGGGGCCTTTGTTTTAGCCACTTAATTCGTACAGATCCCCTTCCCATTGTTACTCTCATTTCCATACTACCGATACCCAAGCATGTGCTGGTGCCCCCTGGTTCTTCTCGACGCAGGAGTTTTGATTTAAAATMACTTGAAGGAAAATTGTTGGAAAGAATTCGCCCTGCTGAAATCCGAGCTGTGAGGATTTTATTTCTTGTTTTTCGTTTTATTTCCCTGACAAATTATTGGCTAAAATACACAGTTTTATACATATAGATATATATGTAATWCTACATACTGTATTTTACAAGTGGATTTGCCACTTTTTTTTCTGTCTCCTGAAGCGGTTGAAGAAAGAGGACCTCGACTTGTCTGTCTCTTAYGGGATCGGTTTGTGTAATCGATTAATAATTCACTGGCAATTTAAAAGGAAGGAAAGAAAAATAATCAGATGGGAACAGACTGGGGAGCTGTAGGGCTGGTTATGCAAGCGAACCTGTAACGTGATATTATATGAAGTATTATGCATGCCAAGTTATTGTTTTTCTTTAATAACTGTTTGGTTTCCCCTCTCCTATCCACTGCTAAAATGAATTTTGGGACTATCATTGTTTCTAAAAGTTTGAATTTCTTTTYCCAAACATTAAGGGGGAAATGTCCTTATAAAACTCAGCCTTGGTGGAAAGTCAAGCTTTGATGGTACATTTTAGGGCATAATCAGCTGCAATTGAACCAACCAGCTCGGAGCACTCAGTGTCCCCGCAGGRAAGGCCAGGTCCTGGATCTGTTGGGGAATGTGCATGCGGACCTGTTTCCAGTGAATTAAGGGCAATCTAATTCTTACTATTTCCTACGATTTTCRTTATAATTGGAGCAATCTTACTTTTTCTGGTTACAAAACCGATCGGCGAGACGTGGCAGAGCTTCAGCTTTGATACAAAACCTGAGAAGAAGTGTCAGGGGCGGATTACAACCTCGACACAGTTTTGGGCTTCCCCACGCTTTTTTTTTTTTTTTTTTTTTTTTTTTTTTTTTTTTTTTTTTTTTTTTTTTTTTTTTTTTTTTTTTTTTTTTTTTTTTTTTTTTTTTTTTTTTTTTTTTTTTTTTTTTTTTTTTTTTTTTTTTTTTTTTTTTTCCCAACTGCTGCTGATCTCCCTCTGAAATACCCGGACATATTCGCCAGACGTTTTCTTGGCATATCCGTCAAACACCTGAATTTGAGACAAAAACTTCTAAAGCCTGGTCCCCGAGCGGTGTAAGAAGGACCGGGGAGAGGCGAAGTTGGGGCTGTCGGTGCCCCGGACGGGACTCTCCGGCCGCGGGGAAAGCGGCTGGGCTGGACTTCAGCCTTTTCGTGCCAGAGGAAGTGACTTGGGGCAATGTTTCTTCCTCAGGGCGCAAGCACTTGATTTTGATGCCGTTCAAAGCCTGGCTGCCCCTGGAAGAAAGAGGCTAGACCGTTTTTCCCGTCATATCCAGCTCCCCAGATTTCCCAGTGTTACCTACTGGAGTAAATCCTGAACTCACTGCAGTCATATCAGAGTAGATTGTAATCCAACGAGAAATTTAACACGCCTGCCACTCTCCACATGCCTTTTCTTTGGAGTAACATATGAGATTATTATACTTCTGAATCTACTAAATATTCTTTTTTTTTTGAAGTTAAGGAACTGGCAGGGCTAAATGATCAATCGGATTTTTAAAATGTGTTTTGACATTAGTATGTTTGTTTTTTAAAGATGTGCTGATTATATCAATAAACAGATTTTTTTCATACACTGTATTTGTAACTTATGATCATGGTAAAATATTAAAAGGTGCAAGAAGTGAAATCATCTAAGAAAAAGTGCTTACTTATGCCTTATTCTGTACATGCAGAAAATGATTTATAGTAGCTTATTGAAAGTATGTGTTGAAAGTAGGAACATATACCCTTCAGATTTCTTTACCTAGTAGCTTTCATAATTATATTTTTCCCTGTACCTGATGGAAATTTTTTTTGCAGGATGCAAACACCTCGCAGCAGATGCAATCCCTGATGTACGTTCATTGACTATTTCAAAATAGGCAAAACCCCCCCGACCCGAACACCCAAGCCCATCCCTCAAATTAGGACCGCAGATACCTCACAGTTTTCTTCCTTGTTTATAGTTTTTATTAAACAAATAAAAAAGATAAAGTGACACGCTCTGTGCTGCTTCTGCAGACAGAAGGCTCTAAGAAAAATGTCGATGCGCTGTAAAGTTCCAAGTACTTTTGCAAAGGCTCTTTGTGACATATAGAGACATACGTTGCTGCTTTATAGATCAAAGCAACCTCAAAATAGCTTTAAAATAAATCCAGTTATACTACAGCTGTAATATTATTATGCAGCATAAATCCTTGTCTGTTGACATTTATTTAATGAATGTTGCTACAACAGCTTAGCTAGATGGCACTCCAGAGGCGAGGCAAAGGGAAACCTTGCCAGATTACTCACAAGGACAACTTGTGTTTATTGGACGCTAATAAAAATAATCAGTGAGAAGATTAATTTTTTTTATCAAAACAAACGGTAGTCAAAATTGGGTCTTAACTGCCATTCTGAAATAAATTCTTAGTGTAGCTGCAGTGAGACGTTATTATTAATTACACTTTAAATGAAAATAATCGATATTCTGGAAAGCACCTTTTTAAATGGCTACTTTGCAATAGTACATTGCTCACAGGCTTAAGATGGCCCATAACTTTTCTCGTAGGCACGAGTTTAAAATATTCATGCAAATCAATACTTGATAAATCTCATAGGTGCGTGCTGGCTCCACTGTTCAACAATATATTTGGATCGATTCTTTTTTTTTCTTTTCCACTGCATTATCTTGGAATAGTCTGTCTGTGCCCCCTGCCAATGCGTCCCGCGCTCACCATCGATCAGAGAGAGACTTGCTCCAGACTCCAGCGGACTCGCCGTGTTTTGTGCTGTCAGCCTCAAATTAGATCCAGGCAATATTCTTACATTTCCCTTCCCATTCCAAACGAATGTAACTTCATGGCGGATRTCTTAATGCTTCATTTAACTATCCTGAGTTTCTCAATTCTGTTTACAATTTCATTTCTGTGTAGTGAGATACAAAAATGTCTATTCAAAGAGATATAAATGAAAATTTAGATGTGCAACTGAAACTTAGTATTTTCTCTTTTCTTCTTTTCTTTCTCTTCTTTTCTCTTTTCTTTTCTTTTCTTTTCTTTTCTTTTCTTTTCTTTTCTTTTCTTTTCTTTTCTTTTCTCTTTTCTTTTCTTTTCTTTTCTTTTCTTTTCTTTTCTTTTCTTTTCTTTTCTTTTCTTTTCTTTTCTTTTTTTTCTTTTCTTTTCTTTTCTTTCTTTCTTTCCTTTTTTCTTTTCTTTTCTTTTTTCCTTTTCCTTTTTTTTCCTCATTTTTTATTTTTTTTATTTTCTTTTTTCTTTTCCTTTTTTTTTCTTTTTTTTTTTTTATTTTTTTATTTTATTTTTTTTTTCTCTTTCCCTTTCCCTTTCCCTTTCCCTTTCCCTTTCCCTTTCCCTTTCCCTTTCCCTTCCCTTTCCTTTCCTCTTTAGCAATTTCAGTCTGCTGAGCAGTCGGGAATTACTAGCTTTAATCGGAAATCCCCTCCAGGATTTTCCCGAAGGTATCAAGCGCAATTCTCGAGGAACGCAACTTAGCTGAGAACTCTGAACTGACCTCAGAGGGAAACAAAGAGTTTCGAACAGGGATGCTCAGTCCCGCGGTCACAGCCTGGCCCGATCCGCTTGTGCCCCGAAACCCTTTGGGCTGCAGGAATCCTCTGAGCGTGCCCAGCTCCCCAGAAAAGCCTGTAGCTTGTAGCTGCCTTCCTGGGGGACTCCAGGGACACTTGCTTTCCAGCTAGTGATACCATTTTCTCTGCCCTCCCTCCCCGGGATGCCCGGCGCAGGCGAGGGATGTCCCCGCTGCCCCGAATCTCCTCCTGCAACCGGCAATTCACGTCCAGCCACTGCTGAAAGGCTAAAGTGACTTTTATTTAGGGACAGGCAGAGMCAAGATGCCCAAAACTGCCTAGTGATTTTAATGAACTTTTCGGACAGCACTTCTGTTCCGGACCCACTCCCCCGCGCTGTGTCCCGGGAGAGCATCGGAGGTGGTTTAAAGACGCTGCGAGGTGCCTCTGTGTCCGCAATTGCCAGGGTTTGATTTGCAAGGGGATGTGAAATCTCGGGAGGGACTGTTTTACYGTCGAGTACATTGGGGGGTAAACTAAGCTCGATTCCGTAAACCAAGCAAAACCAGACTCTTTGGCGTTTCTGTACCATCTAATCAGATTTMATTTCCATCAGGTTTAGAGTAAGAGGCTTTTTGTGCTCTGAGCTAAAATGGAAATATAGATATRTATGTCGARTGATTTCTGGTAAAAAGCTTTCYCAGGTGAAAGGTTTCCACTCCGCACGATGTTAGCTTCTAGGAYTGTATTATTAAAAGAAAAAGATTCGCTCTTCCAGCTCGGCCGCTGTGCGGTACCGGCCTCCGTGTCCTCACACGTCCCGGACAACGATGTTCTTCACAAATAAAATGCAAATGAAGCGTGGGCTGAAGAAGTACCGGTGTCGGGAAATCTCTGTCTATYGTAGGAAAAATTGTTGCTTTTAACCGGAGCCCGGGAGAGAATCGCGATGGTGCGGAGTGGTGCTGAGGGGGACTAGCAGCGCGGGACCCCCTCTCTGGCCTCTCTGACCCCAGATCCTCTTTGCTGGCTCTGATTCTCGCATCAGCCGAAAGCAGCCACAGCCGCCCCTGCCTACGGCCGCTCCCACACCAATCTCCTCCCGGGGCTGCTCCACGCGTCCCGGGAACTATTCACTGGGAAAAGCCCCTGAATTTTGAGAAGAACTCTGTCCCCTCCGCCCCGTTGGACACTGTTCCCCACATCAACTCTGAGTCAAATGCGGGGCGCGGGCTCGCATTGTGTTGCTGGGGGCCTGGAGAGGGCCCGGAGCGTTCCGCTGCCTTTCCCCGCGGCAGCCCCGCCGCYCCGTAGGAGGGAACTTTGCAGGTGTTTGTTTGGCTTGCGCAGGATACGCTAAACCTGTTGGTCTTTGCTTCCCCCTGAAGATAAGKGTGGCCTGACAGAGGGCGTGAGGAGCCCGCTATGGGTCTGGGGTGTAGAACTCGCTGCAGGGGAGCCCCGGAACTCCCCTCCTCATCCTCCTGTGGCCAGTGAATTGACTCCAACTGAATTGTTCCGGCGGCTGAACAGATCCAGCTCTGCAGCGTGCACCCTCTGCACGAAGTTTGTCGGGGACAAAAATACAAAAAAAAACCCCCAACCAAACAACAAAAAACGGTTTTGAAAAGTGGTCARATGGGGCTGGGAAAGGATGACAGACATTTCCCAGAGCGGTGTTACCGAGCCGCGTGTCCCAGGGCTGGGCTTGGACTGCTCAGGGCGGGGAGGGGGCCACGGTGAAAAAAAGCTTAGGTGACAAAACTTATGTCTCCTCCTTCACTTTCCTTCTTATTTCTGACTTCTTCAAGTTTTCCTTTTTCTTCCAAGAAAACATCTTCTAGGAAAATGCACTGAGACAAGGCATTCACTTTTTCCGACGAATTTTTTTTTTATTATTTTTGAAACTAGAAGGGAAATGGTTTGCAACAARAACAGATGTGAGCACCTSGGACGTGCCTCACTCACAGRCAGCAGGAAGGGAGACCGAGACAGGAGCRCAAAGAGTGACCCGACTTGGCGTCCAAGTGTCCCATGCTCCCAGTTTTACCTTCTGAGACTGAATTCCTAAAATYATATTTTCAGCTGCTTCTTCACATTTTGTGCCTCTCTACCTCTGCCATTCTATCGGCCCTTCCCTCACTCTCTCTTAAATGGATATTTTGCTCCGATAAAACCACCGGTTCGTTTAGGAGACTGCAAAACAAATGMAACAAGTTTGGGCATTTGGCCAATAATCGTGTTGGTGGAAGATGGACATCTTTCTTTTTGGGCTGGTGGAAAATGTGCAGCTCTCTTGCAGGCGGCTACATTAAAATTTGAGTGCATTCATAAAGTGAAAAAAAAAAACCATGAAAGGTCTGAAGCCCGCTCTCTCAARTACGAGTGCTTTAAAGATTAACACAGTCCAAAGCCTTAAGATGTTCTGATTTTAGCTCATGGAATCTCTGGCATCACAATATTTAAGAGCCTGTCAGCACTTCTATTATAAACTCTTTTTCAAGGGCTTCTCGCTTGCCCTCATCAATTTTCGTGGTGGAAACCTCGTAATTCGGACTSAAGCCCTCTTTAAAACCGGTTGGAAGCCTTTCCCTGGCTTTACACAGGGCTCCCTATGATCCAAAATTGATGGCGGCTCTAAAATCGCTGGACGTCCTGCCTCGAGTAGTGCAAACGGGTTTTAAAACGCTGCAGTGCTGGGAGGTGGTGAGAAGCAAAAGTTCTCGAGATAGTACAGAAACACGTCGATCCTTCCCCAAGCTGCACAGCTCAGGTGAACGCTTCTCCATCTTCCGAAGGCACACCTGGTACTCACACACCCCCACGCAGCCGGACAGCCTTTCTTTTCATTTGAAAGCTACAGAAGAGCTCTGCTGATCCGCGGGGAGGAGGAGGGAATGTAGAGGGGACGGTGAGGTGTAGGAGTGTRGAAGTTATGTGTGGATTTTGGGCTGGCCTGACACCACTGGGCTCCTTGGGAGGAAAAAAGGTCCCTTTCTTCCCAGGGGAACCATGCGTACTCAGTCTGAGGGTCTGCAGGTGAGASGACCACAGGGAAGAGACTCTGGCTGCATGAATTACTCTTTCACAGAGTACTCTACTCCACCCCGAGCAGCGGCACGGACAATCTGCCGCAAATTCCCTCAGCAGACTGCCTGGGGTGCTGCCAGGCCCCGTACAAACACAGGGAAGGGGTTCGCGGCTCCCAGCTTCCCCTTTCCCCCCTTCCCTCTCCGCCTGCCATCGCTCCCTTTCCTCGCCAGACTCCGCCTCATTCCCTGATCTTATTTCCAATCTTCTCCCTCCGTTCGTCTTCTTCAGTCCCGAGATCTGCTTTCTGCCATCCCACCTCCTCTCCGCCTTTGCCGTGGGCTCTGGCTCTGCCTTCCCTCCGCCCACTTACAGTGAAGGGCCGAGGCAGGAGGGCAGCCAGCCCTGCCCTGCCGCGACTGCCCGGGACACCCTTTCGGGACACCTCGGCGTGCTCCCCGTCACTCCCTTCCTCCTCGCTTCCCTCTACTCCCTGCTCCTTTTCCTTCTCCCTCTCATCCCTGCAGCCGCCCCTCCCGCTTTCTCTCCCCTGCCCCGCTCCCCCCGTTCTCAGTCCTTTGGCTCCCTCTAGCTCCATCCCCTCCCTCCGCCACCCCGACCCCTCCTCCTACCCGGACCCATCCTTCCCTCCGCCCCGGCTGCCGCTGCCGCCCTCCCGCCGCCTGCAGTCCTGCGGCTCGGCTCGGCTCGGCTCG